TTATATACTATATATATATATATATATATATATATATATATATAAACAACAATACTGACATTTATTATAATAAGAAATAAGAATGTTTCTTAAGTACAAATCAGCATATTAGAATGATTTCTAAAGGATCATGTGACACTGAAGACTGGAGTAATGATGCTGAAAATTCAGCAATCACAGGAATAAATTGCATTTTAAAATATATTAAAATAGAAAACAATTATTTTAAATCTTAATAATATTTTCCATACCTCTCAAAAACATTAAAACATTAAAACTTTTGAACGGTAGTGTTTGGATTTTAATGGTTTAATATTGAAAGTCTGGGTCTGGAACAACAGCAAGACAGCAAAATCGATAAATAAATGGCCTTTGAAAAGTAGAAAAACTAGAGGATGAAGCCACGGTCAAACGTTTCTGGGAAAGTTTTAATGTGACCTTCATATAACAAAAATAAAAAGTTGATATCTGTTAGTTGTAATAAAAATCAGCCCCTGGGATATACTGTAACAGTGCCCGTAGATGAAGAAACATCCTCATATGTCTCTGGCCATTGATTTCCGTGCTGGATTCTAGAGGTTTGAACAGCCGTTGGGGACTCCAGTGACATTATGACATCCGTTGACTGATTGCTTGACAGTCTGTACAGAATGAGTGCATATACAAAGAGAACACTGAGGAGGGAAACAATAGATAATATTGATAAGTGAGAGAAGAACACAATATTTTTCCACTATGCCACATCCTCAGAACTCAGGTAAGGGGCTGTGTGTTGAGGTGGGCCCTGTTTCTGTCACATACAGTACATCTCTTTCTTGTTGTAAGCTTCATTTCATTCTGCGGTTGCGAGTGGCCCTGCAGGATTCCTCACAAGCTATTAGAGAGAACCAGATGAGAATGTAGTGTTCACTTTTCCAGTGCTCATGTACTCACTGAGAAAACAAGACTGTTTCTTAAATTGCAGAAACACCTGCTGTAGAGTTTCATTTGAAATTGTCTGTGGTAATTATTAAATAGAACAAAGCACAGCAGAGGTTTGGGAGCTCGTCTTGAATCTGTCGTATTTAAATGTGTTGAGTGGTAGAATTCAGACTTCTCAGCTTACAGACAATCTTCCTTTTTCTTTTTTTTTTATTCTTTTAAAGAGTCATATCGTACTTTTCCCCCAAATAAATAAATTTGTATAGATAGACTTTTTAAGATCATTTCCCACACGGTTTCAGACCATTAGAATTAAATACTCTGTCTTGGATTTTGTTTTGTTTTGGATTTTTAGTTTAGTTTAGTTTAGTTTAGTTTAGTTTAGTTTTGTGTTTTGTGTTTTTTCTGTTTTGCTTTGCTTTCCATTCCACTTTCTGTTTTGTTTTGCTTTGTTTTTTACTTTTTTGACTACCGTGACTTATGTCCAGTTCACACAGAATGTGATTTTTGCAGTTAAAAATGTGAGATACAGGGAAGTGGAACAGAAAAAAACGCAATGGTCTAGAAATGTTTTTTTTTTAAAAGCTGAACTTCTTTTAACATGTCTTTTGCATATATTAGCATAGATAAACAATGGAAATGTAGCGCAGTGGAGCAGAAAAACACAGTCTGTGTGAACGGCCCCTAAGAAGATGAATTTTTTTTGAAGTGAATGCCTGTAGTAACAGATATTTTGGTGGAATTGCTTCCAATGGTTGTTACTAAAGGATGGCATCACCTCAAATCTGTGCTTGCTGCATTATTTATATTATCTTCTCACAGAACTCTGATCTAGTTTCTAATAATGGTGTTCAGTTTAGCTCAGGAACCTCATGCTGGTATAATCAGGGTCACCTTGAGAGAGCTACATATCAATTGCGTTTAAAAGACTTAGTCTTTGCAGGTTACAATGCCTTTGATCATTTAAAACATGATATACTCAAAAGAGATCATCAAAGAGCCTAAATTACATTCATTTTGTAAAACTTTAATACCTTGTTTAATTCAGATTTTTTCTAGCCTCAAAATGTCACACAGACATGTTTTGACCATTTATACTGTATATGTCTCTATTTATTTATTATTGAGCCTGGAATGGGTACTGCGTTTAATTTAAGCTGTCAATCATGATAATCATTCAGTTATTTATGTCTCATTGCATTTTTGCATATTCAATTGTTATATCATGATTAGCTGTGAGACCTAGTAACCACTTGTGTTTTTTTTTTTTTGGCCTCATTGATTAAAAAAAACAAAAATATAAAATAAAATAAAATAAAAAGTGGATTTGGTTATTTATTTCTCCATGGATTCTCTTTTTGGAAAGTAAAATGTTTATTTTTTTATATTTAATATTGTTTATGCTCTTTTGTGAGTGAATTAATGTCTATGGTTAATATTCAAGTTGCAACATTTGGACTACATCAATTGTCAGATTCATCAAGTACTTTTGAATGGTAGAATATCAAAAACCGCTATTTTAAAGAAATTATGAAGGAACCCATGGCTTGAGAATGGAAACTGCCTTCCAGTTTTTTAAATTACAAACTGATTTCTATAGGATGAGAAACCCCTATTCTCAGACAAAAATGTAACCTTTCAAAAGGTACTAGTATGTACCATTTAGTTGTAAATATGATACAAAGACATTCCTTTTAGACATTCACTTCTCTCTTCTCTTTTGGGATTGTCTACTTGGAAACGGCAATAATAATAAAGAGTCTAGCAATTTCTTCTGTTTTGTACGTATTACAATAGCATAGATATGCATAGATTAGTTGTTGGTGTTTTTGTTTTCTTTTTTTGAAGGGTATGAAAGAAATAATTCATAAAGAAAGTTTAATGAATGAGTGCTCTGGCAGACACTCGTGTGTTTAAATGTCAGGTGTAAGATGAGAGCCCATTATGGAAAATAAAGACAAGTAGCAGAGCAGTATGTGTGCTTCGTGTTTTGGGTTTCTTACTAAACGTCTCAAACTTCCATATGAGTAGTAAACTTTTTTAGTTTTATCTCTTTATATTCTAGGATCATTATGAGTCATATATTTTCTGCCATTTACAAGCCATTTGCTGTGCTGTTTATTTCAGGTTTCTGATTTCTTTGACAGCTTTTATCTTACCTCTTCCATCAAGATCTGTCATAATCTACTTTATACTTTTTATACCTGCAGAATTTATGCCAGAATTTAAAATCTGAATATTGTTGCATTACATTACAAAATAACAAACAAAAGTACACAAGCCTACTTTTCATGTAAAACGTTTCACAAAAAGAACGTTTTTTTTAAGGAATAGTTCACCCAAAAATGAAAGTAATCCACCTGACTTGAGTTCATCTAAAAGTTCATCCCCTGTTGTCCTCTCACATCCAAATCCATCTTTAGAACTATTTTGACTTGTAAACGATGCTTGATCTGTGCATATTTCTCTATCGATTCAGACGAGACTACTGTACTTTTTATTGGAGAAAACAATATTATAGACTTGTATTTTACCAGTAAGCAGTGTGTTTCTTATAAACTCACAGCTTTACACTTCACAAGATGAAGTCATGTGAATTACTTGTGGATTACTGTGATGTTTTTATCAGCTGTTTGGACTCTCATTCTGACGGCACCCATTCACTGCAGACGATCACTTTGTGAGCAAGTGATGTAATTCATCTGTTCAAATGAAGAAACAAACTGGACTGGATGGACTGAGGGTGAGTACATTTTCAGAAAAAAAACAAAGAGCATTTAAAAATGTTGTCAGTAGTTAATGTAATGAACTCCACCTACACTGTTAGACATTTCAAAGGGTTTTTACAGTAACTTACTGGCAACACTGTTGCCAGTAAGTTACTGTAATTAATATTTACAGTAGCAAACTGTATTTGATTTACAGTTGCAAACTGTACTGTTTTACAGTAAATTACTGTAAAAAATCCTATTCATCAGTATACTACTGTAACTTTTTTTTTACATGATGCAAAGGGTATTACAGTTACTTACTGTAAAGGGAATTTACAGTATTATACTGGGTGATATACAGTAAATAACCTTAGAAATTACAGAAATATGTATGGTTATGTTGCTAGGGCATGTGTTTGAGGAGACCTAACTTCATACATCCTCTACAAATCTAAAAAGAAGGAAGGTTGCAAAAACTTCTAAGAAAAGCAATGTATTTTCTGAGAAAAGCTCTAGACTCAAGTTTGCAGATGACATTTGATTTGATACTTTATAAAATGCAGTGATATTCATGCATTACTTTTTTTGGAATATCGTATGTCTTGGTGCCGTAAAGAACCAAGAAACATTACGCTGATTTGAAGAACGTATAATGTAACATGAATACCTTTTCAAAGGCAACCCAAGAACCCTATAAAGAATGGTTCCTGATAATAAGATGGTTATTTGCTAAACCTAATGTGCTGTAAAGAACCTATTTTTAATCGAGGCCTAAGTTTGAATGCTGTACAATTACCTGAATGGCTATACACATATATACACATAGATATATTCAAAGGCTATCATACTAAAAATCAGTATGTGTGAAGGCGATAGTAGCACCAATACTAAAAGCTCTTTTTTTTTTTTTTTTTTGCAGATATCGCTCAGAAGCCTAGATAATGACTTTTCTTCATGCTTTCTTTGCAAAGTTAAACTTTAAGAGCTGTTTTCTTTGGCTTCATCCAACATTTCAAGTCTTTTGAATGCTTTTGTGTAGACATCCAACTGTGAAGTATTTCACACCGTCTACTCTTTTTGACCCTTCCATCAATCAAAGGCAATAACTTTCAAGAATCACAGAATAACACGGGCTCCGGTTGCTCATCACTCGATTGTGAAATTTTACCTACAGTACCATTCCGTTCCTGCTGATTTTGTCCCATCTGGCACAATTCAATTAAGCATATGCTTGTGAAGTTTCAAATTGGAAAGTTTTAAGGTGCTAACTGTTCGGAAGAACATCACAATCTTGTTTTTGTCAAAGCGAGAAGGGGGCGCCACGGCAGAGTGGTTTATAGGTTCCCTGTCTGCTCTTCATTAAAAGTCTGGTTGAGTCTCATGTAGTGGCTGTGTTGTAATGAAAGGCTCACAGCAAGCACTGAGGTGGTAATCAGAAAGCCCAGACTCAACTGGTAACCAGGGCAACTGGAAATCAGGACTCATTTTTTTTCTCCCTCTCAGACTTTGTCACGGGGTGCTCAATGTCCATGGAATACTAATAACGTTTATTCTGTTTCGCTTGCCGCCAGTTGCGCTACACATCAAAACCCTGTCGAGAATAACGCGGAAATTGCGCGTGAGCAAATACATCATACACATCATCAGCCAATCAAATTGATTATTTAAATGACAGACCTTTCATCCAAACAAGCGCAAAAACAAAAACACCCCACCGCTGCCAATCATCATTTCTGGAAAAGAAGATTGTCATTGAGAGAACCTCTGTGCTCGTTTTGGTGAATAATCCTGGCTGAGGAAGGGAAATGGAAGGATTAAAGGGTAATCAAGCCCATGATGGATCTGGGACTGTAGAGCTCTCTGCAGTGCTGTTATAATCAAGTGCTCATATTGTATGGGCCTTGAGTGCAGGTTGACAAAAGGTGAATGATGTTCTAAGTGATTTTCAGGCACTTGTGCAGAGTGCATGTGTTTTAAAAGCTATTCAAGAACATTGTGTTAACAGTCATTATATGATATATATATATATATATCTCACACACACACACACACATATATATATATATATATCTCACACACACACACACACATATATATATATATATATCTCACACACACACACACACATATATATATATATATATCTCACACACACACACACACATATATATATATATATATCTCACACACACACACACACATATATATATATATATATCTCACACACACACACACACATATATATATATATATATCTCACACACACACACACACATATATATATATATATATCTCACACACACACACACACATATATATATATATATATCTCACACACACACACACACATATATATATATATATATCTCACACACACACACACACATATATATATATATATATCTCACACACACACACACACATATATATATATATATATCTCACACACACACACACACATATATATATATATATATCTCACACACACACACACACATATATATATATATATATCTCACACACACACACACACATATATATATATATATATCTCACACACACACACACACATATATATATATATATATCTCACACACACACACACACATATATATATATATATATCTCACACACACACACACACATATATATATATATATATCTCACACACACACACACACATATATATATATATATATCTCACACACACACACACACATATATATATATATATATCTCACACACACACACACACATATATATATATATATATCTCACACACACACACACACATATATATATATATATATCTCACACACACACACACACATATATATATATATATATCTCACACACACACACACACATATATATATATATATATCTCACACACACACACACACATATATATATATATATATCTCACACACACACACACACATATATATATATATATATCTCACACACACACACACACATATATATATATATATATCTCACACACACACACACACATATATATATATATATATCTCACACACACACACACACATACATATATATATATATATATATATATATGACTGAAGGACCCCACAACATCATATATTCCTGATTACTATCTTTGTGGGGACACTAGGACCCTATAGCAGTATACTACTATAAACAAGGGTGTGTGTGTGTGAAAACTTGGTATTGTACATTTCTTTGTTTATCCACTTAATTCCTTCGAATACCAATAAGATCACCCTTGAAAGAAGGTGTTTTATTCAGCCTCATGAAAAAAAAAGTTGCCTTATGAAATAGCCCTAATGAGCCTTAAAGTGGAATTGATTAAATGTACCCATATGCTTCACAACCTCCGTCAGTTTGGCACTGCACATAATTGGTCGTAATTAAAGAATTAAGTAGAATAAATTTAGGCACCGTAGTGCAAATCATTGCTCAGAATTCATGCTAAATTTATTTAGGAAGGGTGGCACTAGAGGACAAATATCTCATTACTACAACCAAAATTACTCCAATTTCAAGAATGCACAAGTAAGACTACATTTAATTGTGCCTCCACTGACGAGATTTTCAGTTTCTGTGGGGTTTAGTGGAAGTTGTCTAAATGTTTTCCATTATCATGAGCAAAAACCTACAGATCTATGCAGTAAAAAACAAATTAGAATTCAATTATCCTTTTTTTAATAATTATAATCTAATTTATAATATAATCTCTCTCTCTGTGTGTGTGTGTGCGCGTGTGCGTGTATATGTATACCTGGTATTTCCTACATTATGAGGACCAAATGTCCCCACACCACACGTATAGTAATACGAGTAAATTCTGACCTTGTGGAGACATTTTTTTTTTTGTCCCCCATGAGGAAACAAGCTTATAAATCGCACAGAATACATTTTTTGAAAATCTATAAATGCAGAGAGTTTTCTATAAGGGGTAGTGTTAGGGTAAGGTGATAGAAAATAGTTTGTACAGTAGAAAAACCATTACGGAATGTCCCTATAATGATAGGAATACCAGTTTGTGTATGTGTGTGTGTGTGTCGCAAACACTTTAAATTCAGATGTGCATAGTTATTAGGCAGATTACTACTACAGCTAAAAATGGGCAGAAAAAGTAAAAAATGACTATCAGAAAAATGCAGTACTCTGGAAATTTCCAAACTATTTAAGTGTGACCATGGGACAATCAAGTGGTTTGTCAATCTTAAAAAATGTGTTGAGAAAAAAAAGGTGCAAATTAACAGCGAAAGATCTGCAAAGAATCCACCAGGAACCCTATAACTTCCAGTGACACCATTTCCCAGAAACGCAACCTACCTGGAATCTCCTGAAGAAGGTGTCAGGTTCTCAAAGAATTTGCTAAGGCAAGGAAAACTGAAACACGATCCCCCGCTTAACAAAAATCACAAGCTAAAGCATCAAGATTAGGCCAAGAAATACATAAGGACTGATTTTTTCAAAGGTTTTATGGACAGATGAAATTAGTGTGATGGACCAGACAGCTGGGCCCGTGGTTGACTCACTAATGGACCCAGAGCACCAGTTCGAGTCAGGCGACAACAAGGTGAGGGTGGCATAACGATGTGGGCTACTATTATTAATGATGAGCTAGTTGGACCTTTTCTGGTTGCACATGGACTGAAAATGAACTCCCAAATATACTGCCAGTTTTTGGAAGACACTTTCTTCAAACAGTGGTACAAGAAGTGTCTGCAGCATTCAATAAGGCCACGATCTTTATGCATGACAATGCTCCAACACATGCAGCCAAGTTCTACTGTTTGGCTCGCCAGAAAAGGTTTCATAGATACAAGAATAATGGCCTGTGGCCCTCGTGTTCATCTGATTTAAACCCAGTTGAGAATGTGTGGGCCTTTCTCAAGCATGAGAGATTTGCAATACAAGAACAACACAAGTCATTGAAAAAAAGGTTGACTATACTGCCCACTGAATACTTTGAAAGGACATGATTTGTTTGTTTGATTAAACATTATTGTATACTATTACACATTGAGATAGATGAAGAAAAATCATATAATCTAACTGCCTAATAGGTTTGCACACAAATGTTTGATAGTACAATATTTAATATACTTATTGTTTTACACTGTTATACACATTATATATTAAATATTCAATTATATACGGTTACGGTTAGTTATTATTAATTTGATCTGATGTTCTTAAAAGTTAGAAAAAATGTAGGTAAGATTTGTACTTTGATAAAAATAATATGAATTTAGTTGGATTTCATTACATTTCAGTTCGCGACCTTAAATTTCAATTCAAATCGCAATTCTATATCCTGTTTGCCACAGTTCAAATGTAAAAATGTAATTGTATTTTGAAAGGCATTTACTATTCAATTTGGGATTTGGTGCACAGCCCAGCATAACGTTGCAGAAATATAAAGAAACTAATCGACAAATTATCCTGAATCTTGTCACATTATCGCATCTCGTCTGGTTAGGACACGCTGTTATACAACAGACAAAAAATCCATAATAATCAGCTGAACGGTTTTCCATCCTGTTCCGATCTGTGCTGGTTAATCTACGGCGATGACAAATGTCTAATTTGGAGCCTATATGCAATCTCGTGGAAAGAAGTGCGATTTTCTTTCCCCCAATCTGTTTATACATTGTACCAGCATAAGCAATGTTTATTAATATCAGCCTTTCATTTTCTATTATGTTAAGAGTATTCTGCTGATGTGGGTGTTTATTGATTTGATTTAAATAGCTATCTCTATGATGTCTAGGCTGATTTCTGCGCTCATTCATTTTAATAACGCCTCAGTTCTCCAGTGCAAACATCTGTTTATGGCTTGCCATATTGTTCATAAGTCAATACCTACATTTATGATTAAATCTGTCCTTTTGCATAACCTCTTCCCCTCTGTAATTCTCAAGGTTCAAGCAGGATTTACATGCATCATGAATGCCATTAATTATTTATTTATATTTCTGCATTGTATCTCAGGCATTACACATATAACAGCATGACAATTTTCTTGGTGAGTCTAATGTCATTTGCCCCAAAA